CTGGTACCTTGCTTACAGAGTTCCCAGCAGCCTTACCAGGTGAGTAAAGAAGGTCACTTCCTGGCAGGTTCAGAGACCTCGAGAAGAGAAGAATTCATCCAAATCTACAGGTACTGCAGGCAAAGCCTGATGGCAAGTCTAGCTTGGCTGTCTGGCCTCAAGAGGCCTTTAAAAGTTCAATCTGAAATTCCTTACAAAAAGTTCCAGCAAAGCATATTTAAAAGAGCCTGTGTAATCAATTGCTCTTCTTGCTGCACTTGTGCAAATGATCAAGCCAGCTGTTAATTATTTTCTTAACCTGGTTACTTCTAATAAAAATGAGGGTGATTTTAGAGAAAAGTATTGTTTCAATAACTGCAGCCTCCAGAATAGAAAATCCAACTCCAGATGTTGCTACATAACCTAATAACACAATTTGTTTTATCTTGCCTAGAAGCCACAAAACTGCAAATAGTAATAGAAGCGCCAGCCTTCTGAAGCCCTCTCAACTGACCAGTAATAGAGACCTAGCTGCACCCTTTACTGCACCCCCTTCTCAGCACGAAGCAGCCAGAGCGGTCATCGCCCCTTTTCCCTAGCAGCAGCTAGAGTCCCTATCTGTAGAAGACAAAGACCGAGACTCACTTTATCCTCTGCAAGTAGGCAAAGAACCTGCATTGAGAGAGTTCCTAAAACTTACACCTCCCTCTACAACAAGACAGAAGTAATCAGCACCACCCCAGCTTATTCTAACAAGTAGTAGGCCCGCCAAACCGGAGTCACTCCATGTGTTACCTTTATCAAAGAACGCATTAGCACCGTGCAAATCATAGTGTTGAGACAGAACTATCAGAGTGTTAACCAAACAGATGACCCCTAATTTCATGATTGAAATAGATACAAGAAGAAGAGGGGAATGTAAGAATAGAAATAGGTTAGCATAAGCATAGCCATCTTAAAGGCCTAGAAGCCATTTTCTGAGTATGTGACTTAGAAAGAAAAACTGGAACTGGGTAAGGCCTTGAAAAACAAGTTAATCATGAGCACCGGGTGGTGGGCAGCTGTGACCCTTGGTCAGCTAACCTTGGTCAGTAAATCTTACATACCAAGCTTATCGTGCAGAACCTCCCTAACCATTGAGGAGTAGTCTTACCCTGCCCTTGCTTAACCCCAGGATATATGTCTTGCAAGAATAATGTATAGTTATAGAAAATTGCTATGAGTTAAGTGCTTTGAAAATGCTATATAAACCCTTGGCTCTGAGTGCTCGGGGTCCTTGTTGAGACCCGCTGCGTCGGGCTGACATTGGACCCCAGCTAGCTGGCTGAATAAAGACTTTGCTTGAATTTACATCTCTATGCCTGTGTAGTTTGTTCTCTGGAGAAGCCTCGGAAGCCCGGACCCTAACACTATCACCCCCCCTTCTGTCCCAACCGGCTGAGCTTGACAGAAGATCCATTCCAATTGGGTTTTGCCAAAAAGACAGGACTCCGTCTCCCATCAGCTCCCAATCAAGAGGGAAATGTATTTCAGTGCGAGGCACAGGACACTAGAATTTCTCATCCCCACCTCCAAATCCATATTTAAGAGGCTAAATTCCTTGGGAATGTAACCAAAAGGTCAAGGGCTCCCTTCCCCCACCCAGTCCCCACTCACAGGGCTCAACCCCAGTGCAAATACTGGACTCCTACTGGACTCCTAAATGCCTTCACACCTGTTCACTTAGAAGGCAGGTGTTCAACTCTGGGAGAAGAAAGCCAAGATCAGAAGTTACCACTCTACTCAGCACCCAGAGTATGACTCACATATTTTGCCCAGGGCAAGAGGTGTTACACATGAACAGAGCTGCAAAGCTATCACGAAAGCAACTGGTTTTATTTGAAAGAGAGTATGGGGAAGTTCAAGCCCAAGAATCATTTCAAAAATCATGGCTCCTCTTAATTAAGGGCAACAAGCTCAACTATAGGCCAGCTAGTTTACCAGAGTGAATCAGACAAGTAGGTAGCTAACAAGAACTGCCTGGTGTCAGAACAAGCCTTAAGGACTGGCCCAGAACTAACCTGCCTGACATTGGAATAGACTGTGGAGCAATTTGTGCTCTGTGACATAATAAAAAATAATAGAGCCATCAGTGGGCAATTATTGGAGCCCAACAGCTGGGTGTAATACCAAATGAAGCAGACAGCTTACCAGAGAAATTAGGGGAACAGACTGTCAAAGTGATCTGTGCTAAAACTGTGTCACCCCAGAATGTGCACTGCAAAGCTAAACCTTCTGAGGAGTGACACCAAAGGCTTCACATTCTGGGGGAAAAGAATTTTCACCAAAACAGCCTAGCTAAATCACTAAACAAACAAGGAAACAACAAAAACAATAGCTGGAGAGGTAGTGGAGGGAACCTTAGTCACAGTTGCTACAATGTATTACCTAAAACGTCCAGTTTTCAGCAAAAAAAAGAAACATACAAAGAAACAGGAAAGTGTGAACCATACACTGGGGGAAAAAAGAAGCCAAAGAAAATGGGCTGTCAAAGGGCCCAGATTTCAGATTTGACAAGACTTCAAAATTGCTGTTATGTATTTTTAAGTCCGGCGAGAGGAAATCCCAGGGCAAAATACCTCTAAAAACCGAAATCAGTCAAACGGAGAAATAAAGTTTAAAACCCATTTATTGCTTACAAACTGCAGTTCAGCACTCTCTCTCTCCTGCTCCAGTAGGAAGCAAGTCAGCAAGCAAGCCAGCCCCTCCCCTTAACCTCTCAGGTTCAAACTCGCCCTAGGTTGCGCAGGTGATTACCCTCTGACATGGAGATGAATTCCTCTCCATCCCTGCAGATACGCAAATGCACCAAAGCCAGGCGAGATATTCTGGAAATGTTACAATTTTACCCACAGTATTCAATGAATTAAAGGAAAACATGCTTAAGGAAGTAAAGGAAGGTATGATGACAACGACTCCTTTAAGACATATCAATAAAAATTATTTAAAAAAACAAATGGAAATTATGGAATTGAAAGTACAATAACTACAATGAAAAAGCCACTTAAGTCTTGAAAGATCCAAACTGAAAAATGAATTTGAAGAGAGATCAATATAAATTATGTAATCTGAAAAAAACATAATGAATGAAAATGAATAGACTTAGAGAATGTAGGATACCATTAAATACACCAACATATGTGTAATGATATTATCAAGAGGAGCAGAAAAAAATATCTGAAGAAATTATGGATGGAAACCTCCAAAATTTGCTGAAAACATTAATCTATACACCCAAGAATTTAAATGAACCCTAAAAAAGGATATATGCAAAGAGATCCACACCAGGATACATCATGGTAGAAGTGCTGATAGCCAAAAATAAAGTGACAATCTAGACAGCAAGAAGAAAAAAATGACTCAAGAACTTCCCACAAGCTAGTGAGTCTGCAGTGGATACCCTGGTTTCCTTGGCTCCCCTCCCTGAATTCTCCAGATTAACTCAGCTCTTCCAGCACTACCAACAGTCAACCATCCTGCCTTTGTTATGTAACACTTATTTCACTTGTTGTCAGGCTTGGCCACATAATCGGTGGGGCCCTATTAAGCATTTTAAGATGGTTATAGCAAAGTATTAAAATCAAGCTCAGGAACCTTCGGAGCAGTCCCTGTGGGACTGTACAAGTGCACACCCATGAAGTTGGCCCTGCTTCGTTTCTCACTCAATATCTTTCTTACTAGATCTTAAGAACCATGCAGGCAAGGCACACAGGTAACTCTCTTGCTCACCACTAAGTCCCTTCTTTTACAGTGCCTATCACTGTAGCCACTCAGTGAATTTGTCAGCATATGGAAATTCCTTAATTCAACTTACTGATTTTGCTTGGCTGCAAAAGGTTGCTAATTTTTGCTTCACTGTATGGTACCTATTGCATTGTTTCATTCATAAAAGGCTTCACTTTTCAGTCAGACTTTTCAGAAGTAAAGAGTACATCTACAGGTACCTGCCTTAATCCCAATTAGTTTTTATTTTTATTGCAGTTCTTAAATAATTTCACCATGTTTATAAACCCATTGAAAAGAATACTACCCTCTTCTGAGTTGACCTAACATATATGCATGTTTCAGTACTTTCTATTTTATTTTGCATTTACTGAGGAAGTATCACACTGTATTAACCACTGTTAGCTTTGCTTTTAAGTACTCAGACATTTCTAGACTTACGTACATTTTGATGAATGAAAAACTATGTTAGCTTTGGATTCCATTTACAAGCTCACACTTCAGATGTCTTCACCTTCTATACTATGTGCATAGTTACAACAGGTATGAACAAGTAGACTGTAGTTATTACACACAGGCTGGGTTTAGGAAATTTACCAAACCCTTCTCTATTGCATATCTAATGAAATGGGGATACCACTACTTATCTCAAATTTTATTAAAGATAACTACAGGAGGAGTCCTATTTAGGCACTCAGGAAGATACTTAATAATTAGCAGATATACAGCGGATGTTAAATTTCCCTCCCGCTCATATGGTATAGTGATGCTTGGGTCTGTTTTTTTAATTCACCCAAGCCTTTATCACTTAATAAGAATGACCAGATGTTTGCTGGTTTTTAAATTCTTCTGATTTAAACATGTGTATAATTAACATGTCTCATAATGCATTCTTGTAGCATTGACTTGAGGCTTGAGGCTTAGTTAACATACTAATTCCATGCTACAAAAGTGTGTCTTCCGGACTTGAAAATTCTCACAATGAAATTCAACTTCTCAATGCATATGTAAACCAAGCAACATTTTAAATAAAATGTTTCATTGTACTTTTCAAAAAGTATTTAATCCCATGAATCATTTAATGATCTTCAGTTTAATGAATTTAACAGGTTAAATACCTAGTTTATTAAGCATCAATAATTTTTATTAATGTACTTTTTCTTTTAAAATACAAAATAAACCATTACAAACTATAGTCACAATCATCAGAGGAGTAGATCAAAGCCACTGAGCAAATAGACTACTATAAATAGACCAGCTATAAAAAAAAGTTTATTAAAAAAACAGACAACATATGTAAACATTTTCAGTCACAAGGCGTAATATAGCATGTCAGGCTCAGGCTTTAAATCTCTGCAGTGGGAGCACCTTAATTGTTGACTAATAGTAATCAGCTTAATTTATCTTTCAGTGAGCTAATTAAGTATAAATGAAAATAAATAACTAGATGCTGCTAAGTACACTCATATACAGAAAATTGCAAATGTACAACAGATCTTACCAAAAAATAAACTATCTGCAATAATAGCTGAGATGAATCCTTGTATCACAATTAGCTTTTATTAAGAAGCTTCATCTCAAAATTCATCATAAGATACAGCTGGCTAAAATAAAGCTGAAGTGGAGCAGGGACAAAGTAGAGGGCAAGACAGATGAACACCTACAACTACCTCCAACCCCTCACAGACACAGACACACACACACAATTTTGGTAGAAGCGAAATGGAGAACATAGTTTTTGTGCTTCATTCATGAATTATTTTAGGTATGTGTTTCCTTTACTTTTTGTCAGAAGTTACATGCCCCCAAATGACTGACTCCAAAGGAACCAACCATAGTTTCAAATGCAGTAACATTTTGAGGAAACCAAATCTAAATTACATAACTAAACAACCACCCCAAATTAAAGCCAAATCATAGAATGGACAATAATATAACAAAATGTAGTTAAGTGCCTGAGATTTTGCTGCAAGAAACTAAAAACACAAGATGGTTATCATTACGGCAAAAGGTGCTTATGTTAATATAATCCTCTCATGTCATTCACTATTGATACCGGGTGACTAAGATGTTCCAAAATGGCCAAATAATATAATTTTCCTTTCTTCAACTCTAGATATTTTATCATACCTAATTTAATTTAAATTGCTGACATTTCAATTACATAGAAAACCTTAACCAAGGTAAAACTTTAAATGAATCTCAAGTAATGTTTGCAGTTTATTCACTGTTTGCAAATTTTAAAATACTTACTCTGTCATTTGAATAACTATTCTAGTGACAGCGGGAAGCATAATACATTTAATAGAAACCCAGGCAAATTTACCAAGTTCCTGGGTGGTTTAAGAATTCAGTAGTCTATTTGTATTAATTATGTATGATTTATGAAAGTGACTCAAAATAATTTTAAAATAATTTAAAGTCCTGATCTGCTATCCAACAATCCATTTTATAAACGCATACCTGAAAATAATTTATAATATTTTGTCCTTCCCACCATATCAGCTTATCTCCAGATGTTTAACATTTGTCCACAATTAACTGAAATGTGAAATAACCAGAAAATACTTCAATTCAAATAGTGCTGCTGTTTCTTGACTTAGCAGTGCTTCTCTCTTACCGTATTTGGATTAGTATAATTATGTATTTAAAGGAAAAATCACATGACATGTTTACAATACATGATAGATGTGTCACTTGTTAAGAAGTCTCCTACAGAATGAAAAATCTACAGAATGAAGATTTCTATAAAATGAAACTCTGCTACTTCTGGATTCCAAATAAATGGCCACTGATGAAGAAGCCCTTCAACAGGAAGAACCTCCAGATTGGCATCTGTGTTTACAACATGGTCTTGGCAAATGACAATTATATTTCAAAAATCTATTTTGGAGCTCCACTGGATAAAATTTTTGCAACTTACATTCAGTAAAACTTTTATAAGTTACATTCAGTAAAGTTTCCTCAAAGAGAGAAATATTGCATAATTTAGGCGAGAACTGGCATATTTATTCATTATAAGCCTCTTGCTGAGTTTAGGTAGTCAAAATAGAATTCCCATCTATTCTAGTCATCAATTTTCTTCTTTAAAATAGGTACCTTTACTTTCTGATATCACCACATCATTCCTGGCTTTTAGTCGCATAAATAACAGAAAGAAACAAAGAAGGAAGGAGACAAAGGATGGAGGCAGGGAGCTCGTCATGGTCCAGGTGTGTGGCCGACAAGGGTGACGTGAGAGCATACAGAGCGTCGGCACTGTGCTTAAGATGACTCCACCCAGCCCAGTTGTACGTTGCTATAGATTTCTGGTTTTATACTTGTATGTACTTCAGGAATCCAGTGGGAAAAACTATAGGCAGCTAACGGCAATCCCACACATTTCTTGAGGCTAGACATCCATTACTATTTTAGCAACATGGCCACAGCTTTTGAAAACACAACAGCATGAACCAATTCAAAGACAGACACATTATTTTACTTCGTTCATCTTAAAAAAAACAAAACTGCTTCAACAGCAGAAGGCACTTAGGACATAAATTTTCTCCCCACTTCATGTATAGATGGTCCTCCGGCTTTGCTCTTTATCCTGCACAAAGGCAGCGTGCATTCCTGGCTCTGGCCTGCCACATCAGCATCCAGTAAGAGAGGCACATGGGATTTAGTTCTCTCCATGTCACAGAGGGAACAGGGAGGCGTGGGCCCCAGGCCATACACTATGGGGCTGGCCTCTGTGGGTTGAGACTCTGTTCTCTGTGGTGGCTCTACATGGCTTCTCAGGGCAGGAGGCTGGGGTACGAGCACAGCTCTTTGGGTCTCAGGCAGGACCTCACTTGGCAGCTGACTGTGAGGACCAGGTGGGGAGTGGGGAATCCCCCAAATCTGCTCAGGCAGCACGTCAGAGGCTCCAGTGGCTGACACCATAGGAGGACCAGCTAAAGAAAGCAAAGACAGTGTGCAATTAGAAACACCGTGACTTCTACACACTGAGTATCAAGAAAAAGAACTTGGATGACAGTTGAACCAAGTACTCACATTAAAGTGAGCTTCAACAGAAACACCCATGCACAAACCTTTTTAAGTTATTAGGATATGATGTTTGTTTATTAACGAACAAGCACTTCATGGTTGCAAGAGTGCTTCAACCTATGCAAACTGTAGACAGCTACATCATCACCGCAGCACTTGGGTCAATGATCATTGTAACTGTTTCATAAACAAGATAGATTTCAAAATGGACCAGGCTGGAATAAAGTTGAGAATTTTTTGAATGATGGTATATATGGTTAACCTTCACTTTTAGATTATGAGTTAAAAAAATTAATGAAAATGGGAAAGCAGTTATGTTTTTACATGTTTCCCTCTTTTTTCTTCTGAAGAACTGACTTGTGACCACTTTAGCAGACAGTTACTGGCTTTTAATTAAGAGAAAAATGGATGGTTTCATGGGACTCGTGCTAGGATTTGCCCTTGTGCAATTACATATTCCTAATATTTTCTTGCATTACAAAAGAGCAATAAACCAATTTATCTAAAGACAATGAACAATATGAAAAAAATCGTATCTAGGCATTGCACTTAAAGTGCAGGTAGATGAAAAGATAAAGAGAATGAAACCAGTTTTAATACTTTTTTTTTTACTAAGGTATCAGTCACGAGCAACGCACGAGTTACTAGATTCCTGCCATTATCAAGAACCCACCAAATACTCCACCACTGTCCATCAGTGTAGTAAGACGCTATAGAGTCACTACTTGTTTCTCTCTAGATTCCTGCCATTATCAAGAACCCACCAAATACTCCACCACTGTCCATCAGTGTGGTAATACGCTATAGAGTCACTACTTGTTTCTCTCTGATATATTTCCTTCCCCATGCCCCACCTACATAATGTGTGCTAATCATAATGCCCCTTAAACCCCTTATCCCTCCCTTCTCATCCACCCTTCCCAGTCCCTTTCCCTTTGGTAACTGTTAGTCCATTCTTGGGTTCTGTTAATCTGCTGCTGTTACGTTCCTTCAATTTTTGCTTTGTTGTTATACTCCACAGATGAGTGAAATTATTTGATACTTGTCTTTCTCCACCTGGCTTATTTCACTGAGCATAATACCCTCTAGCTTCATCCATGTTGTTGCAAATGGTAGGATTTGCTTTCTTCTTATGGCTGAATATTATTCCATTGTGTATAGGGACCACCTCTTCTTTATACATTCATCTACTGATGGACAATTAAGTTGCTTTCATTTCTTGGCTATTGTAAATAGTGCTGCAATAAACACAGGGATGTATATGTCTTTTTGAATCTGGGCTCCTGCATTCATAGGGTATATTCCTAGGAGTGGAATTCCTGGGTCAAATGGTATTTCTATTTTTAGTTTTTTAAGGAAACTCCATACTGCTTTCCACAATGGTTGATACATTCCTACCAGCAGTGTAGGAGGGTTCCCATTTCTCCACATCCTTGCCAACATTTGTTGTCATTTGTCTTTTGGATGTTGGCTATCCTAACTGGTGTGAGGTGATATCTCATTGTGATTTTAATTTGCATTTCCCCGATGATTAGTGATGTGGAGCATCTTTTCATGTGCCTGTTGGCCATCTGAATTTCTTCTTTGGAGAAGTGTCTCTTCAGATCCTTTGCCCAATTTTTAATCAGGTTATTTGCTTTTCGGTTGTTGAGTCGCATGAGCTCTTTATATATTTTGGATGTCAACCCCTTATAGGATATATCATTCATGAATATATTCTCCCATACTGTAGGATGTCTTTTTGTTCTACTGATGATGGGTAGTTTTTCAATTACTGATTGAATTTCATTGCTGGTAATTGTTCTGTTCAGATTTTGTTTCTTCCTGGGTCAGTCTTGGAAGATTTTATTTTTCTAGAAAGTTGTCCATTTCTTGTAGGTTATCCAGTTTGTTATAATTTTTCATAGTACTCTCTAATAATACTTTTTATTTCTGTGGTGTCTGTAGTGATTTTTCTTTTCTTGTTTCTGATTCTGTTTATGTGTAAATTCTCTTTTTTTCTTAATAAGTCTGGCTAGGTGTTTATCTATTTTGTTTATTTTCTCAAAAGAACCAGCTCTTGGCTCTTGGTTTCATTAATTTTTTCTATTGTTTTATTCTTCTCAATTTTACTTACTTCTTCTCTGATTTTTATTATATACCTCCTTCTGCTGACTTTGGGCCTCATTTGTTATTCTCTTTCCAGTTTCACTAATTGTGAATTTATACTGTTCATTTGGGATTTTTCTTTCTTCTTTAAATAGGCCTGGATTGCTATATACTTTCCTCTTAGAACTGCTTTTGCAGTTGCGCTGTTATTTTCATTTGTCTCCATATATTGCTTGATCTGTGTTTTAATTTGGTCCTTGATGCATTATTTAGGAGCATGTTGTTAAGCCTCCATGTGTTTGTGAGCCTTTCTTTTTCTTTGTATAATTTATTTCTTGTTTCATACCTTTGTGATCTTAGTAGTTGGTTGGTACAATTTCAATCTTTTTGAATTTACTGAGGCTCTTTTTGTGGCCTAGTATGTGGTCTATTCTGGAAAGTGTTCCATGTGAACTTGAGAAGAATGTGTATTCTGCTGCTTTTGAGTAGAGTGTTCTACAGATGTCTGTTAGGTCCATCTGTTCTAATGTGTTGTTCAGTGACTGTCTCCTTATTTTCTGCCTGGTTGATCTGTCCTTTGGAGTGAGTGGAGCATTGAAGTCTCCTAAAATGAATGCATTGAATTCTATTTCCCCCTTTAATTCTGTTAGTATTTGTGTTACATATGTAGGTGCTCCTGTGTTGGGTGCATAGATATTTATAATGGTTATATCCTCTTGTTGGACTGTCCCTTTTATTGTTATGTAATCTACTTCTTTGTCTCATTACTTTCTTTGTTTTTAAGTCTATTTTGTCTGATACAAGTACTGCAACTCCTGCTTTTTTCTTACTATTAGTGGCATGAAATATCTTTTTCCATCCTTCACTTTTAGTCTGTGTATGTTTTTGTGTTTGAAGTGAGTCTTTTGTAGGTGGCATAAAGATGGGTTTTGCTTTTCTATCTATTCTGTAACTCTATGACTTTTGATTAGTGCATTCAGTCTATTTACATTTAGATTGATTATTGATAGATACATACTTATTGCCATTACAGGCTTTGAATTCGTGGTTACCAAAGGTTTAAGGGCAGCTTCTTTAGTATCCAGCAGTCTCCCTTAACTTACTTATCATGTTACTATACATATAGCCTGATGGCTGTTTTTTCTCTGCCTTCTTATTCTTCCTCCTCTACTCTTTATATATTAGATGTTCTATTCTGTATTCTTTGTGTATTGCTGGACTGACTTTGTGGGTAGCTGATTCAATTTTGCATTTGGTTAATATTTAGTTAGTCTATGTCCTTTGCTGTGGTTTTATTTTCTCTACTGACAATTATTTAGTCTTAGGCACACTTTCCTTAGGCACACATCTAGAGCAGTCCCTTTAAAATACACTGTAGAGCTGGGCATAGAAGCCACAGGGCATAAATCTGCAAAGAAGTAAAAAGCTAACCTTTTCAAACAATAATGCTTCACTCTCACTTACCAACTTTACATTTCCCTGTATGGCCCTGGAAGATGACTGGTTAGCCAGAGATGGGTAAGATTCCTCAAGGGAGAAACAACCTAAGACAGGCACAGTCACAGGGGGGCCATCAGGTGAGAATTTGGGGATCAACAGAGGTGAGGCTTAGAACCTCACGTGCCCCTGTTTTGAGAGAAATCTTCTGCAAGTTTTGTTGCCCTTGTCTAGCTTGGATTAATACTTAGTCTATAGGCATACACCTAATCATCTACATTAGCCCTCTTACAGCACTAAACTATGTTTTCTACCTTTATCTTGCATCTACCTACCACTTCAGTATTTTTTATTAAAAAAATAATAATAAGGGAGAAATGTGGAATTCACATATAAATCAAGTATAAAAATCAACCGAATAATATTTGACCTGATTGTTTATAGTTCATGATGCGTGATCAAAACCGAAAGTTTCTGTGATGACTGCCCTTGCACTGTTCACCATCTAAGAATTTATTCACTATGTAAGAACTTGTTCACCATGTAAGAACTTGTTTGTTATACTTCAGAAGACTGGAGACTGTTGAGAATTAGGCTTGGGGCTGATTAATGAATTTTATTGTTGTTAACAACCATATGATCAATAAATATGAGGGATGCCCTCTCAAAAAAAAAAAAATTCCACTCTGTCTTAAGCCAGGGGTCACCAATAACCCACAGGCCATGGTCAGCCTGTTTTGTAAATAAAGTTTTACTGAACACACACACACAAAAAAGTATTTTCTGCTAGGCTTTAATAAACACTGCATTTTCCAGAGGTGCAACTATTGTGTAAATCAGAGAAGAATGTCCTTTGTTATGTTTGGAACTTTGCCAAGGGCTGTTTAGGCAGTTGGAAATCGTGTCACCAGTGGCAACACTGTCAGATTTGATTCAACTTGCCTGCAACAATGTGCATTTATCACTGTTAAATTCATATTTGTTTAATCCTTATTTTAAAATGCCAAAAATAAAGAAAAAGTGTTGAAATGTAAAAAAATATATACACTGTAGAGATGGTTTGTGGGATGTAAATTCCCTCAACTTTTGTTTATCTGAGAATTGCTTAATCCCTCCTTCAAATTTAAATGATTATCTTGCTGGGTGGAGTATTCTTGTTTCTAGGCCCTTCTATTTCATTGCACTGAATATATCATGCCACTCCCTTCTGGCCTGTAAGGTTTCTGCTGAGAAATCTGGTGATAGCCTAATGGGTTTTCCTTTGTAGGTGATCTTTCTTCTCACCCTGGCTGCTTTTAATACTCTGTCCTTGTCCTTCATCTTTGCCATTTTAATTATTTTATGTCTTGGTGTTGTCCTCTTTGGGTCCCTTGTGTTTGAAGATTTGTGGACTTCCACGGACTGAGAGACTACTTCCTTCCCCACATTGGGGAAGTGTCAGAAATTACTTCTTCAAAGACACTTTCTATCCCCTTCTCCCTCTCATCTTCTTCTGGTATCCCTATGAAGTGAATATTGTTCCATTTGGATTGGTCACACAGTTCTCTTAATATTCTTTCATTCCTAGAGATCCTTTTTTCTCTCTGCCTCAGCTTCTCTGTATTCCTGTTCTCTGATTTCTATTCCATTCAATGTCTCCTCTATCTCACCTAATCTGCTCTTAAATTGCTCCGTTTGTTCATTTCAGTTATCTCCCTCCTGAATTCATCCTTTAGCTCTTGTATATTTTCCTGTAGCTCCATCAGCATGCTTATGAGTTTTATTTTGAATTTTTCTTCACAAACTGGTGATTTCAGTCTCACTGAGCCCTCTTTCTGGTGTTTGAGGGATTTTGGATTGAACAAGGTTCTTCTCCCTTTTCGTAGTCCTGGAGCGATGGGAGTGGTTGCCAGTGAGTGGTGCTGGTGTCAACTGGGAGGACAAAGTCCCTTCCTGCTTGCTGGTCACCATGCCTGTCTCTGCTGTCTGTGCCAGTTAACCATGCACAGGGAGCAGCCTCTGGGTTGATCCCCTAAAGTGCTGTGAGCACGGTGGCCCTTGGGATGGCCTAGGCCAATGGTGGGGGTTGCAGGCAAGTTACTGTGATTAGAAAACCCCTTCATGGCTCCCAGTCTCAGTGCCCATCTCTGCTGTCTGTGCCAGTCAACTAAGCACAGGGAGCAACCTCTGGGTCTGGGCCAGTTAGCAATGCACAAGGAGAAGCCTCTGCCTTAAGTTTTGTAGTTGCTGTAGGTGGGACTGTCCTCCAGCTGGTCTACAGCAATGGCAGGGATAGTCAGTTTGTGCATAGGTGCTGGTGGGAAGGAGCAGCAGGCTACTTATCATGGTGAGGGGCATTGGGGCTGCATTGCCATCCAGGCGGATAGGGTGCCTGAAGCTCCTTAAAGTTCCCAGCCTGCTGGGCTGAGTGCTAGGACAATTTTGTCCACCTGTTCCTTATCTTAAACCCTTGCCCCTTTAGCAGCCCTCTGACTGTTGAGAGGTACCTTAAAGTGCCTGCTTTTTTTTTCTCCCAGGGAAGCTGGTTGTGGGAACCTGTTCACAGTCTTAGTCTCAGACTTTGCTTTTCAGCCTCTCTAATCTCCAGAGTACCATGCAATGTGTGTCTGTGCTCCCGGAGGTAGATTTCTAGGGGGTGGGTACTTAGCAGTTCAGTGCTTCCAATCCCTCCTCACTCTGATTCTTTTCCTCCTGCTGGTGAGCTGGGGTTGGGGGAGTGCTCGGGTCCACAGGTCATGGCTTTTTACCTTTCCCTTTCCTGTGAGATGTTGACTTCTCCCAGATATAGACTGGCTGGTGTACTGTTACTTCTGGTCACTCTTTTAGAAATAGGTGTATTTGCTGTATTTTCAAAATATTTTGGGTTTTGGGAGATTTCTGCTATAATACTCATGCAGTCATCTTTTCTCCTGATACCAGTTTTAATATCCTTTAGAACCAATCCTAGCCTAACATCTTATAATCTAAAAAGTAATTTTCATAAACATTTCAATTAATGTTCTTGACATGTACCTGAGCTAGTTGTAATTGTCTACACATACAAAAGAAGTAATAGTCAACCATATAGTAACTCGTGAGCCAGTTGATTTTGATACCTGCTAATAAATTCAACCTTAACACAAGCTGAGCAGAAAAGCCCAGTGAAGAGGAACACAAAGTGTCACAGAGGTGGTGAGAAGACCAGTTTCATTTCCAGCCCCCGCCGACTAACTACGGTCTCATGTCTGGGCAAGTGGCTGGTATTTCTGTCACAAAGGGCTTGAAGGGGTGTTGACTCTCCACAATCTCTGTTCCAGAGTGTTATTATATATTTAAGCTCCTGAAACTTAATTACACATTACATTTCCCAGAACCCAAATGTTAAGTCCCATAGGAGAGTAGGGTAAAAGCCAAAGATCTGTGTAAACAAACAGTTAATCACAGGGAAAAGATAAAACCCGCTAGCCACGCAATTCTGCATTCTAACCTGCATGGTGGGGCTCTGCGTTCTCACCCAGGGAAGGCACCTACTTGTGCGAAGGGCACTGCCCTCAACCATGGTGGGTCTGCGAAGCATGGCTCTGCCTGCAGAGCAAGCACAGCAAGGCTGGCCCATCTGCAGGGGTGACGGCGCTTTTGCCGCCCTCCAGTCAATTCCCGGTGCTGGCCTGGAGCTTGGCTCACCACGACTGCCCCCTCCAGCAGCAGGCTTTTTGGGGTCGCAAGTGAAGTGTGCGCTACCCTCGAGGTAGTTCCCAAGGCAGGAAGGCAACCCACCCTTGGCAGAAAGGGACAGTGCGTTCAGGGGGCTTGGGGCACCCAGCGGGAACATGGTGGGGCTGCGCGGCCCGTCGCCCAAGGTGGCCCCGGTGGCAGGGCTGGTGCTGCTGTGGGACTTGGCGGCACGCAGGAAAATGCCCTCACACTTCTTCCTGTCCTCCCTGGGCGACAGTTCATCGGCAGCTGGTGCCCTGCTCAGTTCCCGGATGTCCAGGCCAAGTGCCACCGATGCCAGCAGCGCAGTACAGCCAAACAGCACGGCCTCAGTTTTCTTCCTCTGGGGCGATCTGCTCAGACTACCTGTGGGGGTCCCCCAAGTGGCGCCCAAGGCAGGGCTCCCCCAGGACCTGTCCGCCCAGCCTTCAGGCTCCACTGGACTCTCCCTTGGGCCCTCTCTCCAGAGCAGCGGATCCACGTGGGCCTGACTAGGTAATTTCATTTGCTTTGGTTTTCTGTGTTCTAATCCATCCAGAGGAAGTTTTGATTCTTCACAAGCACCTGAATAAAGGTATAAATACATGGATGGTAGTACCATTTTAGAGTAAAAATTGTTTTTGCTGTAAAATAAACCTAAAATTTAATACATTCCCAATTATAACACATGGAGTCCTTTACAGTTCAGCAAATGGTCTGTCCAGGAGGACCCTAGGGAAGGGGGCCCAGAGGCTACCACTCAAAGTTCCGTGCAGACAGACCAGTGGGCAAATCACCTGTTTCCTACCCTTCAGGAAATGGATCTTCATTGACATGGAAAATAAAACTATGGTAGAAACAAACACCATCAAGATACAGAAACACACACATATCTGCACAGACACTGTACTATGTCAAGCAAAAATCCTCATCTAAATAAACGTGCCAGGCTCCACTATCTACAGCTTTCCTCCAAGTGAAGAATTGCCAAGCCATAGATGGGCAGTTCTCAAGCCATGCTGCCTGGGTCAGGAGCACCTGTATCACCTGGAAACTTGTAGAAATGGGAGTTTTTGAGCCACTCCGGATGATGGAATCAGACATTCTAGGGATGGAGCCCACAGGTCTGTGTTTTAATGAAACTTTACTAATGTCTGGGGGCCACTGCAATAGAGGAAGATTCTCCAAAGAAGTTACAGTCACAAAGTGTAACAAATCATTATAGCTGAAGAGGAGGCTATAATTCTTACCTCTTAGGTGTTTATTAACAACAAATGATTAAAACTACAAACTCCTTAAGATTATTCCACAACAGAGCTTCCAATTATTTTTCCAGAACCATGTCCTTCTATACCTAAAATGTGCTCTATAACCTAGACAAAGCAGACAGCAGCTTGTCCCCCAACAGGCCCATGCTCTTCTTCTCCACTCTCCTCTTTTCTCTGATATTGCTTCCCCAAACTCCCATCCCTCATAAAACTCTCAAAATACTGCCTAACAGGAATATGGGCCTATGGCTGCCTGACTTCTTGCATGAAATCTCACTTTCTTTGAAGCCCCTATAGCATCTTTCAGTTCTTTCCTTTCATTTACTTTTAGATCACAATCAGCTGTGTGCATGCCTGCAGATGGCCAGTTTCTGACCATGTCTGTCTTTTTATCTTCTGAGGGGTCTTCTCTATACAGTGAGTAGGCATGAGATATATTTTATTGAAATGAATGCATAGTATCTGTAATAAATAATAAATTATCAATCCATAGCTTTTAAAAAAAAGAGGGGGCTGCTGATAAGTGAAACTCATAGATTTTAAAGTACACTGAGCACTTCCTAGTGTGTGTTTACATGCATCTTCACTGATCCATCCATCATAATCTTTTCCTTCTTATGACTGATGACCAACATTTGTAGCCCCAAACCAAGATGAATATAACAATATCTACAGGCCTGCTAGGACTCAGTATTCAGATGTTGAATGCATGCTTTCATGCAGGCATTGGGAGCAGATTGGTGAATAAAACTGGTAAAATCTTTGCCTTCATGGAGTTGACACTCTAGTTCAGGGGGGACAGAGAACACAAACAAGTGCCAATGCACATAAATAAGAATTTCAATAAAAGCTGAGAGCAAATAAAAATGGGTAATGAGACAGAGGAATGATAGGATGGGATACTACTTTAGCTCAGGTGATCAGGAAAGGTTTTCACTAAACACTTGAGCTGAGATATCAATGGTGAGCCACAGAGTTAAGTGGGGGAGAGGGGCCTTCTGGCAGGACAAACAGAGAACCCTTCTGCTCATTAATCCTTTAAGTGAACTACAGTTAACTTAATGGAGACTGTTGTATGTCAACCAAATACATCCTTTTACTTCCTCTAACTGCCCTTTGGAGGAGTTATTAACAGGATCAAAATATTCTAAGAAAGAACAAAAGAATTAAGGATAAAAACTCAGGACTTCCTTGATTAATTCCTCTATCTGGATAGTCACAGATAACAAAAAATATACTAGGAGAATAACAGTTTTATTACTATTAATTATTCTTCATTAGTTCTCCAACTCTGATGATAAATCATAGTATGTAGTAAGAGGAGAACCTCTCACCTTTATAGGTGAGAGTCAGGAAACAATAATGAATCTGACAGTAGACAGCATTTGTCCAGGAATTTTCAGAGCCCTGTCTTGTGTGCACCCATTGTGTTCATGAAGATATTGATACTGAAACCACATCTTCATGACAATACAGAAGTAAACTGACACATGGGTAGTGAGTGACAGGCATTTATAAAATTGAGCACAGAATTGATAATAAATTCAAGAAGTTTACACTGTGCTTGGCCACAAGATCAAACATCTATCTTAAATTGTCAAGTATAAAGACTTATGTTGTCAAGTATAATTTCCTTTCTCTGGTGATAATAAAATTTGAAGTTTTTCAACAATTTTCATATTTCTTCAACCTTTATGTCTGAATATTGAGTAGGAATATTGAATAATGAAAATAACTGATTCATTTAAATTAGAGATTCCAATGTAATACTCTCCAAGCAATCGTTTTCCATGGATAACCTACTTGACAAGATTTCATCAAGAGGTAGTAAGATATCTAGAAGCCCACTCCTTAATCTCAGAATTTCTGTTTTCATATTTTCTATCACCTATATTAAATTTATTTGGCTGTATATAATTAACTATGATACTAATTTTTCTGGTAAAGCATAGGAGTTACAAATTCCCAATTAACAATGTAGAGTCTAATGACCTTTTGCCATAAAGACTTATAGGACGGGAAACTACATTTGTGCTTAAGTATAGGTACAAGCAATGCTAGGACAGAAGACCCTTGAACAACATGGGTGTGAACTGCTCAGGTCCACTTGTGTGTGGATTTATTTTCAATAAATATACTGGAAAATTTTTTGGAGACTGCAACAATTTGAAAAAATATTTTCTCTAGCTTACTGTAAAAATACAGTATGTATATAAAATATGTATGAATTGACTGTTTATGTTATCAGTAAGGCTTCCAGCTAACCCTAGGTTATTAGTAGATAAGTTTCAGGGGAGTCAAAAGTTATATGGGGATATCTGACTGCACGGTGCAGGGAGTCAACACCCCTAATCCCATGTTTTTCAAGGGTCAACTGTACTTGCTAACCTCTCCTATGCTACTTAAATGACTATTTGTAGCAAAGCTTCTGGAACACTCAGATGCTAAGTGTAATTCAAACATAGTTTATTTCCTGAAGTACATTTACCTGGCTGGTCCACAAATAATGAAGCCAATGGCATGTTTTTCTGATTTTTTATTAAGAGAGTTGACCAAGGACTGTTGCCATCTGAGAGAGGTCTTACTCTACAAGAGAAAGATGTTAGTTTTGATATTGATATAATAGCACCACAAAACATTAAGTTTTGGCATATATATGCCAAAAATATTTTTAAGTACTAAAGAGAACACATTTCACATTAGTATTCTGTGTTTTGAAGAGCTATGAAAGTACAAATAAAACTTTTAAAAATGAGACAGAGAATACATCAGAGAAGGTTTTTAACTGCTTAACTAAAATTAATTTAGTATGGTAAACTGACCCTAGAAATTAAACTAATATTCTGGCATCTTTTTATATTATTCTGATTGCTTTCTAAATTACACATGCCCAATGCACTATTTTAAAAGGCACTTCTGTTTGTCACAGTGTACACATGAATGCCACGAGATGTCACTCACCTTTCTCTGCAATCAGTTCTTTCTTTCATTTGAATTGAATTTGGTCCCCAGGTACAACCCTTTTTCTTGAAATTCCTTTTTACATCTTCAAATTCTTCTTGCTGACAGACTGTGCTCCTTCCCCAAGTTTTATTGCTTCCATCTTTAGTCACTAGACAGAAAGCATCAATCATTAACCAATTTAAAAGAACTTAAATGAATCAAATCAATTGTAGAACTACCTTACTCAAGACATGTAAACAATGGAGAAATAAGAGAGAAATTATCTCTTTCACTTGGCAAACTTCTTTCTCTAATTGTGAAAATAGCAAGGATAGTGGAACAAATCGAAAGATAGAAATTTGAGGTAAATTAGCAACAAAGATCTCATATCTGTGCTGCAACAGGATTTCATTTTATTTGGGGAAAAAATAAGAGCATTTGAATATTGAACTTAAATTTTTTAGCCAAATCAACTGAAGTTCTGAACCTAAAGAACAAAGGCATATTATTAAAATTGTGATTTAAGTCTGTTTTTCGTCAGTTACCACAATTTTACTCAGTCACCACAGCAGATTGACTATAATTACCTTTTAAAATCTGCAACTATTTAACTGTTTCCCCATGTCTTGCCTTTTTTCATCACTTCATAGGAATTTAGTCATGCTTAATATCCACATTTACTGGCACACATATTTGCCGTCCCTCTAGCCTTTAGTGCACTTATAGTTGACCTGGAAATCACTGGAGGAAATGGCTATTACCAAACACTTAGAAAGCAATCCTGCAACATACTAGATCTTCTAAAAACACAATTTAAAACATTATGACATATCTACACAGTGGAATACTCTGCCACCATAAAAAATAAGATACAGATAAAATGTGTTTGTATATTATATATAACCCATTTTCACTAAAAATTTGTTTATGCATGTGTGTATATATACACACATACGTAGAAAGGAAAAGTTAATAAATATAGATATCAAACCTTCATTAAAGCTTTTACCTTTGAGGGAGATGATTGCTTAGGTAAAGAGGGACATTTAACTTCTTTATATCATTTTTTTAAATTGGTGGCATTATGGGTGATGTCTGATTTGTGTGTGTTTCAGTATTTCCACATTTTAAAATATACATATACGTGTGTACAAATGTGTTTGTGCATATATATGTGAATGCGTGGATATATGTACATAGGTATGTGTCTGGCCATCTTGAATAAGCTGTTTACTTTTTTAATTGAGAGTCTTAGGGCAGAATTAGAGAGGAATGGGTCAGCGATTTCAGTTCACTGAGAGCATTAGAGTTAGAGCAGGAAGAGTTTCAGGTTGGGTATCCGGAGACCTGCAATTCTCTCAAATGCACTTTACCAGCCGATGGTCCCAGAGCTAGCAACCACCTCTCAGTTCAGTTTCCTCATCTTCTTCCTCCCTCTCTTGATTCACTGTTCTGTTTTTTCTTGTTCCAACATTTAGTGGCACATTAATTGTATGAAAAGGCTGGAAAAGGTATGTGAAGTATCCACACACTGGAGACTGTGTCTGAATCCAGTTTTACTGCTTGGTAGCTACCGAGTGAGGCCAACTTTCAAAACTTCTCTTTGCCTCACCTGGGGATCACAACAGTATTTACTAGATCAGGCTTTTTTAGGAATTAAGTGAATTGGCACAAGGAACAGCTGAGAATGACACGTGGTAGGGCTGAGTGCCTGGTGGGCAGTGACCAAGACTGTCGCTGCGCCAGGCGCCAGGCCACAGAGTCTCTGCCTCTATGGGACATGGTTTGCTTCCTACCTCATCGCAGACTCGTCCTCACTGCACGTCGCTAGCAGCTTCCGTGGTTTTTGTTTGTTCATGATGCAGATGGATAAGACAGAGTGGAATGGGGAAGGGTGACTGATATCTTCAGCTTGTATCAAACATCTCTCCTAGTAGAAATAAGTGCTCTAAGTTTACAAGCCATTATGATGCTCTGTTATTGGAAGGTGTACAATGGCAGCAGATTCCTGAAATAACAGGAGGCTGTGTGACTTTTCTATTTGATTCTATTAGACAACAGGGAAGAGGTGTGTTTTGCCTTTGAGGATAAGACATCAACCATAACATGTGCACTGAAACTTGAAATTCTCAGAGGATTAGTGAATCTACTGTTCCTTATTCTCAAAGAGAAGGGTACCTTAAATATGGTATCATGTAACAATACCAATCATTAGTATAAGCCAGAGGAAGTTACAGTCAAAGAAAAATGGTAAGAAGATATTTTGTGTGAATATCAGAATGAGCTCTTAAGCATCTCCTAGTAGAAATAAGTGCTCTAAGTTTACAAGCCATTATGATGCTCTGTTATTGGAAGGTGTACAATGGCAGCAGATTCCTGAAATAACAGGAGGCTGTGTGACTTTTCTATTTGATTCTATTAGACAACAGGGAAGAGGTGTGTTTTGCCTTTGAGGATAAGACATCAACCATAACATGTGCACTGAAACTTGAAATTCTCAGAGGATTAGTGAATCTACTGTTCCTTATTCTCAAAGAGAAGGGTACCTTAAATATGGTATCATGTAACAATACCAATCATTAGTATAAGCCAGAGGAAGTTACAGTCAAAGAAAAATGGTAAGAAGATATTTTGTGTGAATATCAGAATGAGCTCTTAAGCAGACAGTGATTCTTTTCATGAGGGTGGAATACCCATGCTATTATCCAAAGTCAAGCTTATAGTGTAAGGCCCTTTACCTTAGTATTCCTTAAAAATTCTTTTGGGGTAGTCCCTCTTTGTTGAGTTTCACTAAAATGATTCCCATCTTTCTCAATATATAGTTATTCTTTCCTTCAGTTTCAGAGGTTTTATTTATTTATTTTTGCTTCTTATGATGCAATTTTTCTCACTCAAGTTTACTCACATTTCCCCATATTTGGTCCAGGGGAAAAGTGCCAGATAACAACCACACCTCTGAATGAAAAGAAGTCCATTCCCCTGAATCAGGTGTGCGTACAGATGTGCCATGACCCACCCGAGAGGCCAAATCTTCACGGAGAACATATGCTAATGCTAGAAGGCAGGCTGCAGAGGAGGAACAACACTGGACATCAGCTGCCAACACACAGAGCGCTCCTTCCATGTGCCAGGCACCATTCTACATGCTTTTATACATCTGACCTTTTTAAACTACCATCATCCCCATTTTGCAGAAATGGAACATGAGCATGATGAGGTTAAGGAATCTGTCCAAAATCACAACACAGTAGGCTCAGAGCTGGGCCTCAGTCCCAGGCAGTGTGGCTCCAGGATCCATGTCCTTAACTATAGTACATGTCCTGTACTACACTGACTGGTGAGAGCTAGGGGTCATCCATGCACACTAGTAACCAGAGGGGACCCAGGAACGAAGCGACAGGAAGGTACCTGGGGACAGAAAGAAGAGCAGAAGGATTTGAGTTAAAGGATGTGAACAAACAGTTCCTGCACACAGAGCCAGTCCTGTTGAAAGATGTGGGCTTGAGTGTTTTCCCCCACTCCTTCACAGGATGAATGTTGAGGCCCTTGCTGTTTGCAGGAGATGGGTGCTCCTTGAGCTGGTTTCACTTCGGCTCACAGGGTTAGAAGTTATCTGAAATCCTAAAGTATTCAACTTAACTAATATAAATCTTCAGGGCAGCCAGGCATATCCAGATATAACTACCCCAACTCAATGAGGTGGGTATTCACAATTAAAGACTGTCAAGACAGGAGCTCTCATTCACTGCTGAGGAAAATGCAAAATGGCACAGCTACCTGGGAAAACAGCATGGTGGTTTCTTACAAACTAAATATACACCAGCAATTGTGCTCCTTGGTATTTATCCAAAGGAGTTGAAAACTTTTTCACAAAAAGCTACATACAAATGTTTACAGCAGTTTTATTTCTAATTGTCAAAACTAAAGTTCGGAAGCAACCAAGACATCCTTCAGTAGCTGAATGGATAAACTGTGGTAAATCCATACAATGGCATATTATTCAGCACTAAAAGAATCACTTATGAAGAAATAAAAGACATGGAGCAATCTTAAGTGCATATTGCTGAGTGAAAGAAGCCAATCTGAAAAGGCTGTGACCTGTTTGATTCCAATTACATGACATTCTGGAAAAGGCAAAACTATAGAGACTATAAAAGGATCAGCGGCTGCCAGGGGCTGGGGAGAAGGGATGAGTAAGTGGACACTGAGGATGTTTAGAGCAGTGTGACTATTCTGGGTGACACTATAATGGTGGCCACATGTCATTATACATCTGCCCACACTCAGAATACACAACATCAAGAGTGACCCTAATGTAAACTATGGGTTTTGGGTGATGATGATGGGGATGTGTAAGTGTGGGTCCATCGACTGTAACAAAGATACCACTGTGGTGCTGGATGTTGACAGTGGGGGAAGCTGTGTGTGGGGTGGGGTGGGGGCATATGGGAGTCTCTGTTCCTTCTAGATTTTCTTATGAACCTAAAACAGTTCTATAAATGTAAAAGTCTTAATATACATCCTCCCCTCCAAAATATGTATATACACACAGGAAGACAACAGAGATGCGGGCAGAGAGCAGAGGGGCAGAAACACAGGCGTGGTGATTTCTCGTTCTCCTTCCTTCCCAAGCTGACAAGCCTGACATTCTCTTTGTTGGTTATAATTCAACCCTTACTCCATCCAGCAAAGGCAAGGTACAAAGGACAGCTTTATAAAGAATGCTTTCTCAGAAAAACAAAGTAGTTACAATAAAATGATGACTTTAAGTTCTAAGGTCATACATTTATTTAGATTCTTTTTCTTCAACTATGGAGAGATGGGTCTCCTGGGAGCTTTAACAACCACAACAAAAATACATCTTTGCTGGTGCCAAGGTTTCAATTATCTAGAGAAGAAAAAAAGTAGAAGAAATGGATTGCAGGCCTGATTACAGAAAATATTCTTTTGGAATTTCTTTCTCCAAATGAGAATGGTAAACAGAAAATTAAGCTTGATGGAGAAGGCAGAGGATCCAGAATGATTATGTAGCATGCTGGCCTGTAAATGAAATGCATGTTTCTTTTGCTTAGCACACTTTTAGGGTTTGTTTGGGCTCACCTTTGAAAAAAATCAGTAGTTTTATTTCATTGCATTATACTTTGATTCAGGGTCTGACTGAAATGCTCA